CACACATATTGATATAATACGTCACGAAACAATATCCACTAAACATGTAATCATGATAGATTATTTGTATTAGTTAGCCCAAGACCTTCTTTCATTAAGTGGTATGCCTCACAAATAAGTTGCATATCACCATATTCGATGCCATTGTGAACCATTTTAACATAATGTCCTGCACCAGTCTCACCGACCCAATCACAGCATGGTTCGTTGTCAGCTTTAGCAGCAATGGACTGAAAAATAGGGCGAACATGCTCCCTATTTATGAAAATTGGTAAATTATCAAAAAAAAATTCATCTGTATATGAGTGTCGCTAAAAGAAAACCCGAAAATTTAAATCTAAGTCATATTTAAATTTTCGGGTTTTCTTTTAGCGACACTCATATAATTACTCAACAACTCAACGTACCAAGCAGAAGTACTACCACCAGGCATAAGGGAAGGGCCGTAACGAGCACCGCTCTCACCACCCGAGACACCACAACCAATAAATCGGAAACCTTTTTCTTCCAAATCTTTACACCTGCGGATGGAATCCGGGAAATGAGAGTTACCACCATCGATACTTATATCGCCTTTATCGAGATAAGGGAGAAGTTGTCCAATGAAATCATCAACAGCAGGACCAGCCTTGACCAAAAGCATGATTTTGCGTGGGCATTTGAGTTTATGTACAAAATCCTGAATGGAATGAGCACCAATAATGTTGGTACCTTTAATTATTGAACAAATAATAATTTTATTTAATCATAAACAACTTTATTATACGACTACAAGTCAAATCACTTAAGAAGCATCGTAGATAAAAACCTTTTGCTTCATTCTCCAAGAAACGATCTACCTTTGATACAGTTCGATTATAGGCAACTGCAACGAAACCGTGGTCATTAATATTAAGAATGAGATTTTGGCCCTATAAATAAATAAAATAGGGCACTTAATATATAAATAAAAACAGAAAAAATGAAAAAAGGGTTGATAATGTTAAAATATAAACATATACACACCATAACGGCAAGGCCGATAAGTCCAAAGTCACCACTATAGGTTATAACATGTTAAGAATTTCAAAAAGAATACAATATATTATTCAATATAAACTGAGTTTGACTAACAAACAGCTCAAGCCTATGTTTGCATTACGCATAGTCAGCCCTTTACCTTTGCGCTGAACATTGTTGAAAAAAAAAAAAGACACTCACATAGGTTGAGAACTCATTTTTTGATAAATTTTTAGAAAAAAACGTTAAGAGAAATGAGCACGATCAGATCGATTTTATAATAAAATTTCCAATTTAATGCGCTATATCCCTTACGGTATCAAAAATGAACTAATAAACTAATCTAAAAAGTTTAATAAGCGATAAAAGTTTTGGGTTTAGTGACACCCATTATGAGCAACTTAATTACTAATACCGATACATTCTGATCAAAAAAATTTCTGATCATCTCAAAATCGGTATCGGTATGAGTGTTGTATCGGTAAATGTTTACGAGAAGAGTATTGTATTAATCACAGTTGGAATAACGTCTATTTGATAAAATAAAATGTTTGTTGTAAAATGAAACTTATGAAGTCTCGAAGGTACGTACGGACTAACTAATACAAATAATCTATCATGATTACATGTTTAGTGGATATTGTTTCGTGACGTATTATATCAATATGTGTG